TTTCCCTTTGCGGCCGCTTTGAGCTCCGCAACAGACTTCTACGGTTACGTCACAAAAGTGTGGACTCAGAGGAAGCCTGCAAGGGTTTAGGGTGTGATTTGGGACAGGGCCTTTGACTCTTGTTCAGCAAAAAAAAATATTTTTTTTTTCTTATTCATTAACTAAAATTTCAGTAGATGTATATTAACAACACGGTGGTCTTTTTTTGTCCTATTTATGAAAAGACACATTGATCATATCAAATGGAGTAACCCTAGCGTTTTTTTCTCCTAAAAATGTCTGAAAACAAAACTGAATACAAAGATTATAATTTTAAGAAGGCACATGTGTTTTTAAATTAGATTTTTAAATGATTTCTGAATTTTATTGTCTTGGACATCATTATTGTCATTGACGCACACACAAAGGGAAAGGTTATGCGAGGAAATGTCTCATTTATGTGCATGTTGGATGGTTTCTGCTTTTGTCCTCATATACACCGTTGACTCATGTTTGAGCTAGAGATGGGATTAGTGGTGCTTTGTCTCCTAGATGTGAGACATACTGACAGCTGTGACACTTTGTGTCAGGGGTTACAATGAGTAGGTGCATTCCCTGATGTTGCGTTTAAAGAGCCCTGCTGTTCACACAATGCCAGAGTCTCTCAACATAATTCTGTGAATGTGTGTCTGTGTGTGTTGACATTGATGTTTGTATCTATTTTGGGGCTCTCAAAGACCCATGCCCTTCAGGGAAATGTGAAACTTTCCCGGCGTTTAGTGGCTTAAAATGATCTGATTTGCAAACAGAGAAGCGAAATTGGTTTAAAGGGTTAGATTAGAAATTGTGCTTCAGTAATTTTGCATTAATTGCGTTAAATTATTTGAACACGTTAAAGATTGTATAATTAATCGCATGTGTTAATGCGTTAACATTGACAGTCCTAATATATACTGTATATACAATAAGACTTTTAATGTTTTTAAAGAAGTTTCTTATGCTCATCTGCGTTTATTTGAATTTTTTTTTTTAAATATTATTGCAATTTAAAATAACAGTTTTCTATTTTAATATACTTTGAAATATAATTTCTTTCTGTGATTCAAAGCTGAATTTTCAGCAGCCATTACTGCAGTCTTCAGTGTCACATGATCTTTCAGGAATCATTCTAATATGCTGATTTATTATCAATGTTGGAAACCGTTGTGCTGCTTATTATTTTTTTTGGAACCTGTAATACTTTTTTTTTCAGGATTCTTTAATGAATAAAAAGTGATATCTGAAAGATTTCTGAAGGATCATGTGACACTGAAGACTGGAGTAATGACTGATGAAATTTCAGCTTTGCCACCACAGAAATAAATTATATTTTGATGTACAGTACCTTGCGAAAGTATTCATACCCCCTTCATTTTTTTATGTTTTGTTATGTTGCTGCCTTATGTTAGAGGGTTAGTTCACCCAAAAATTTAAATTAGCCCATAAATTACTCACCCCGAGGCATCCTAGGTGTATGTAATATACACCTAGGATGCCTCGGGGGTTAGTAATTTATGGGCTAATTTAAATTTTTGGGTGAACTAACCCTTTAACATAAGGGTTACATTTCTTCTTTCAGACGAATCCAGTCGGAGTTATATAAAAAATTGTCTTTGATCTTCCAAGCTGTTTAATGCCACTCAGCGGGTGTTGTCCTGTTGCGACAAGTCCTCCTGTAGCGAATCGATGAGTTTTTGTAAGAAAAATAGCCATATTTAAAACGTAATAATCAATTTAATCTAGCTTTTGCTCACTGTTGTACACGGAAGCAGCTCCGGGAGGATGATGTATGAGTTCAGCGTTGCGCATGCGCCGGTGAGTCTCGTGAAAACCAACGTTTGTTAACAGGAGCAAAGGAATCAAAGTTTCCTTACTTTAGCAAAGGAACACCAGTCTCCTCTTGGCTTATATCAAAATCCTCCGACATTCTTCTTTACAAATCCTCATTTTGTATTTATAATTTGTGACTGTTGTTTTGTTTTGATCTCTCCCCTGCGCTTCCGTGTTCGTCACTTCTGAGCGGCGCATGCGCAACGCTGACCTCATACGTCATCCTCCCGGAGCTGCTTCCGTTTACAACAGTGAGCGCAAACTATATTAGGGTATGAATATTTACGCAATGGAATCATTTAAATTTTTTTATTTTTAATAAATTTGCGAATATGTTTATAACCTGTTTTTTTGCTTTAACATTATGGTGTATGGAGTGTAGATTGATGTGGAAAAAAAGTCATTTAAAGCAGTTTAACATAAGGCAGCAACATAACAAAACGTGAAAAAAAAAAATGAATACTTTCGCAAGGCACTGTATATTAAAATAGAAAACCATTATTTTAAATTATTTCACAATATAATTTTTTTCTGTATTTTTTCTGTGGTTTGATCAAATAAATGCAGCATTGATGAGCATAAGAGACTTCTTTAAAAAACATGAAAGATCTTACTGATCACAAACTTTTGAAAGGCAGTGTGTGTGTGTGTGTGTGTGTGTGTATATATATATATATATATAAAGTGTTGGTCCCCTTCCTGATTTCTTATTTTTTTGCATGTTTGTCACACTTTAATGTTTCAGATCATCAAACAAATTTAAATATTAGTATACTATATTATATTAACTTAATAATAAAAACCTTAATTTAAAAACTGCATGTTGTGTTCACTTGTGTTATCTTTGACTAATATTTAAATTTGTTTGATGATCTGAAACATTAAAGTGTGACAAACATGCAAAAAAATAAGAAATCAGGAAGGGGGCCAACACTTTTTCACATCACTGTACATACACACATACATACATACATACATACATACATACATACAACTATATTCACAGACTCAAGCTTTACAGTCGCACTGCCTATCATGCTGTCTCCACAGAGACTTTAATCCCTGTCATTACTTCCTGTTTTCTGGTAGAGTTCTGCTCCTCTCTCACACTTCAGGTGCTTGTGATACTGTCGCCTCAGTAACTGATAAGCTCTTATCACAGTAGGTTTGTTTTTAAATGCACATCCAGTTAATCAGCAGTGATGTTTTTTTTGTTGTTGTTTATGGTATTTGCTTGCAGCCTTTAAAATAATTATGTTTATACCGGATTGGATTTTAGTGTTGTGTTATACTTTGCTTGATGTTTGAGATGTTTTTGATTCAGATATTGTTACATTTCATAATTCAGTGATATACAGATGCAGATTAATATGAGATTTTAAATGTCAGTTTTCAAATCTGTCACTAATGCATTATACTCAAGGATGTGTATAGTTTGTATGTGCATTTTAAGGCTACTGTGTACAGTGTTTGTACTTTGGTCAGGGAGCTTGCCAATAGCATGTGACAGACCTCTGCAGAGAGACTAGGTGCCCATGTGCTTTATGCATAATACTAGCCTTTAAAATTATGCCTGTCTGATCTATATAAACGGATACTGTAATTTGTGGTTGATTTTTGAAAGTGTAATTTTTGCTGATATTTGTAGACTGAAGGTTGATAATAACCTTTTATGGATTTCTTTTGTATTTAAAGCGTTTTAAGTCATGTGCCTTCCATTGTGTTTTGTACGTTACATAGAAGAACCAGGCATAATATGCTAAACGGCTGAGGTATCACACACCCCCAGACTTTCTGAACTTAGCAAACACAAAGAAACATGCACTTAATTGCTAGGAGATGCGTGACAGATGAAAACAAACATATATATTATAGATATACAGGTGCATCTCAATAAATTAGAATGTCGTGGAAAAGTTCATTTATTTCAGTAATTCAACTCAAATTGTGAAACT